AACCTTGGACTGGATCAGACTGCTGTGGAGTGGGAGTCTGATGGCCAACACTGTAAACCCTGGACTGGATCAGACTGCTGTGCAGTGGGAGTCTGGCCGACACTGTAAACCCTGGACTGGATCAGACCAGTTATTTTATGCCATGGGAGTTGTGTCTGTGTTCCTGTGAACTACAGAAATTGAATCAGGAAGAAGCGTGTTGTGATAGCTGGCTACCTACTCCTTGCCTCTAAGTACTCTTACTGTTCCACTCCCTCCACTTACCCCCTCCTCGCTGTTCCAGCCCGCAGTCACACCCCCTCCTCTGTTATTTTTCCAGCCGGTACTTCTCTCTGCCGGCCAGACCCCCCTCTACACCTCCGCTGCCTCCACACTGGTAAGCTGCACCCGGAGCTCTTCCTGTACTTGTAGGTGTCTGTCTGTTTCTTTCACCCGCATGACTTTTCCACCCCTTCCTGTGTGTCATCTCTTCCCCCTTGTGGCGTACTGGCATACTCGGGCGGGGAAAGAGCTCATCCCGGCCGGAATCTCCATTCCCACCGCCCTGCGCTCCAGGGTGCAGGTTCAAATCCCAGGTGGGGCACAGCTGCTATCCCTCAGATCGCTCCAGAGCACGCCCTGCTGTGTACATGGGGGCTGTAGCTTAGTGTTTGTGCACCTGGTCACATAAAGACTTCTCTCTTCTTATTGCATCAGTATGCTGGAACAAGGGAAACATTGCAAAATGAGTATTCTGGGACAGTCTGCATATTCTAAGATTATTGTTCAGAACCTGTTACCAGCTGTGTTGGTGGTACCTGAGTACGTTTGACTGATTTACCGTTTATTGAGAACTTCAGATCTCAAATGTTTGAGTAGGTAAAACCCTAGAAAAACGTCCAGTGAAGTTCACTAAGACTGAAATGAGGCCGCTGTCAGTTTAGATGGAATGGAAACTAGCAGGCCTGAGTGAAAGGGGTCCCCTAAGCACAGGAGTGGGAGACCCCCGCCATAAATGTTGCACAATCCAAACCCTGACTGTTTGACAAATGGAAACGCTATCCATGACTCCTCAGGCGAGTCCAGTAAAGCAGTCTTGGTCAGGAAGCGTGAAACTGTGGGTCAGCTCTTTAGTATTCAGAGACAGGGATGACGTCACTGGTCGATGTTATGCAAGTGCTGTAGTTATTTTGCAGAACCATCTGCAGTACCTCACATCATCCACAAGGTGTCACGATTCTCCGTATGCAATTCTCAGTCCAGCTCTCCGCGAGGGGACTGCTGTAATACAGTTAGACAGGCCTGTGTCACTGCTGTGGAAGAGAGAGCAGTCTGCAGCTGGAACTGTGAATTATTCCAGTTAGACATACAAAACACTCTTGAAATGAACTGCACTAAGCTGAACTGATGATTTCCTGTGTCCTCTGCCTGTGTTGTGTGTACATGAGAAATGATTGCTTCCATGCTTTAGCATAAGGACTGCAATTGTAAGAGTTCGATACATTCTTGTTCTGTTGGTCAGAACAGTTCTGGTTCTAATGGAAAGAGCAGTGACACCCCCACTCCCTGCCCCCCTGCAGAAACTGACATGCACACACTCCATCACTCGCCTGAGGCTGTCTTCCGTCGCTATAGTAACGGGAGGAAGGTGGTCTCCTAGCAACATCATCCCTGTTTGTATCATTTTATTCAGAAGTAGTGGTGTTTAACAGACATGAAAGGAAGTGAGGATGCTACTTTCTGACACAGAAAATAGAGGTCCCCTGCAAAAGGTGGAGGAGAAAGAGGCAGGAAGAAAAAAGGGAGGCTTTTGACTGCGGGCCAAAATAGACAGGGAGGAGATAGATTGAGGACAAGAAAGACAAACTAGAAAATCCTCACAACTCCCACCATGCCACCCCCACAAATACACATCAGAACTGCTTCCTCAAACACAGGGTTTCTCTACAGCTCTGATGGTGATGAGTGTGAATGTGAAGATCCAGATGAGCTGGACTGAGTGTCTTTACAGTCTCTACAGATCTGATGGTGATGAGTGTGAATGTGAAGATCCAGATGAGCTGGACTGAGTGTCTTTACAGTCTCTACAGATCTGAGGATGATGAGTGTGAGTGTGAAGATACAGATGAGCTGGACTGAGTTGCAATGTGGTGTAAAGAAAGTGTTTATACCATAGCAGTGTGTGGTGCTAGTATGGTAGAATCCCGGTAAAAGGACAGAGACACATGGTGAAGTCTTGGTCAGTATAAACTGTGGCAAAACAAAGTCTGTGTCCAATATCCGTGTGGTACAAATGCGAATGTCATATGAATTTACTGCAGTAAACTTGTGTTCCTTTCCCCCGTCCATCTGCAGAGCCCTCCCCGTGCAAGGCTGGGCTTTCCAGGCGGCTGGGCAGTGTTACTGAAATTCAATTACAGAGTCCGGAATCCGGCGCAGCTGAGCCCCAGGGGCTCGGAGCGCCATCTTCCCCGTCAAGCCGCCGCCTCTCCGGGCTGATTCCTCTCTTCCTCTCTTTCCCTCTGAATGAGGTGCACAGCAGTAATTACAGAGCCCCGGTCTGCAGGGAGAGAGAGCAGCAGGCAGAGCCAGCAGGGGAGGGAGGGAGAGAGAGAGGGGGGGGGGGAGAGAGAGAGAGAGAGAGAGAGAG